TTCATTTCCTTTTATGTTTTCTGTCTTTTATTTGCGCCTGATGCGTTTCGCTGCTGTGGAGCGGGGCGCATCACCTTGTCCTCCGGTGACGCACCGATCACTGATGCGGCCGCCAAGCAGCGAGCACCCCTCTGTTTTTGCGGTCGGTAGATCTTTTAGAACTGCAGTTCAAAGGTAACTCATAAGGTGAATATATATGAACCCAGGTAGCAGTTTTTCTTTAGGATTGAGAGGAGATGCAGGAAGATAATAAACAGACAGGACAGAAAAATTGTCAAATAAAAACAAGTTAGGTTTTGTACCTGGTGGTTGCAACAAACAGACACCATTGAAGGTAATCAGAAGTGAGGAACAGAAAATGAAATAATTATTTTAATGTTTAGAGCAGCAGGAACTCCGAGAGGCTGCAGGCGCATCAGTGAGTTTGCGGCCACTGCGCAGGGGGAGGGGGGAGAGGGCTGAAGCAGGGGGAGGGGGGAGAGGGCTGAAGCAGAAACTACCGTTGTTAAAAGAAATGTGTTTAACTTTGAAAATGTGGGCGCAATTTTAATTGTCAAAACTCCAGCGAACCATTAGTTCATTTTGCTCAAATAGAAATAGAGGCCTGCCTCTAATTCTGGTCCTCCTTCCAATAAAGGCCTGGAGCTTGATGAGCTTGAGTCAAATACAGGCCCGGGCCTGTATTAGAGGATTTACGGTAAAAGCTAACCTAAAAAGGTGGGTCTTGAGCCTGGACTTAAAAAGATGAACGTTCTCTGCGGCCCTGAGGTCCTCTGGCAGCTCGTTCCAGAGGCGAGGGCCATAACACGTTTGAAAGCATCTCCCTTCTCCTCTCCTCTTCTCTTCATGAGCCTCAGATTCACCCACCCTCTCTCCCTTCACCCGTCCTGTCACCATAGAGACCGTTGTTGCCTGAGGAGAGGTTTTTCCTTGGCAGACACTGTCAAATGAGGATGCTGAATATAAGTAAGCTCACAGAAGGACATCACTCAGTTTAGTCCCTCTGTCCCTGGTTGTGCTTGTGAAAGCTTTTGGGAGCGGGGGACGTGTACTCTACACGTGCACCAAAAATAACAGGGGTGCTGGTTAAATCACTCTGCAGTAAAACTCAACAGAACAAAAATGAGTTAAGCTTAACCAAAAGACTAATAAATTACCAACGGTGAATAACAGGACCTCAGATTCAAGGGGACGAATGTGCTCCTCAGCTCTCTCAACAGCAGAACGGCTCTTTGCCTTTGCAGGGACATCTGATGGTGCATGAGAGATTGCCCAAGCAGTCTTCTTATATTTTGTTGACTTGGGGGAAGCCTTACAACCATGTTCCCTGTGGTGCTCTTTGGGGGTGAGGTTTCAAGTGCCCTGCTAACAGCTATTTGGTCCCTGTTCAATAAGTCAGAGGCTGCTAAAAGGTTAGCAAAGGGTTGAACTCCACCAACACATAACTGTGGACAAAACCTTCATGGACAGCATTTGGGTTGGAGAATCTTCAGTTTGAGGGGCTTCAGATTGTACCTCCTCTTTTTCTGGATGATGTCATGTTGGCCTATTGAGCCAAGACTGCAGAAACTGGAATGTTTTGCAGCTGAGCATGAAGCAGCTGGGATTGGAGATCAGCATCTCTAAGTCTGAGACCAGCATCTGCCTTAAGGTGAAGAAGTTAAATGCTTTGGAGTTTTGTTTATGAATTGGGAATAGAAAGAAGTAGGACACAAATGGGAGAATGAGGCTCTATTCTGTTGTCATGTGGTCATGGGCTGTGGGTGATTGCTGAATTGACCTAGATGAGGTGAAGAGTTCAGCTGTAGGACTGCATCTATTGAGGTCCATTGAGGCGATTCCACATTAATATACCGATATAGTCTAACTCTTCATTTCTGCTAAAGTCAAGATCATAAGTTTAACTTGAAACGTGGCCAAACATCATATTTTGCATGGTTGGATGTTCTAGATAATCTCTGATGACAAGAAATGTAACCTCGATGGTCCTGATGGTTTCCAAACATTACTGGCATGACAAGCAGGTCCCACCTGAGATGCTCTCCGCATGCCACAGTGGAGGGGCGCCATAGTGGTCTGGGGTGCTTTTTCCTTCAATGGAACTTCAGGAGGTCTAGAGGCATCAGAAGGCTGCGATTGAGTCATACCAAAGACATTAAAAATGGGACCCAATGCCTACCTGGTTGATGCTCTGCTTTGAAGAGGTAGGGTTGAGGGCCTAAAACACCCAATAGTTCCAGAGTGCAGCCGTGTTTGCAGCTCACCGCTCCCCATGGGAATGGGTTAAATGCAGAGGACACATTTCCAGGAGAACAACATCATTCTTGTGGACCATCCTGCCTGTTCTCCTGATATAAATCCAACCATTGGAGATAGATGGTGTTGGGTTATATCCCCTGCTAGCACTCAGCTTAAGGCTCAGATAATCACACAAGAAGATAGAATAGTTATTTGATATCTTATAATCACTTTGAGTATTTTATAATCACTTAAGATCTGTAAGTTTTGCTGATTTCATAATTCCACAATGCAATAAAGAATGCTGACTCTGTGTCTCAATCATTTAATCAAAGACCTTTTATTCTCGAGTCTCCTATTTTATATAACTGAATAAAGAGTGCTTATTCGTGCATGCTATATAATGAAACCACCATTTATTTACTCACTGTGATTTGACAACTAATGCTTCTCACATATATTAAAATGCCTTTGACATAATTTTTAATCAACCCTCCCACTGTCTTTATGGGTGACCCCGCGAGGAAAGTTGACCATTGAGCAGGATTGATGGCTTATCCCTTGAGGTACATGTGGCAGGGGTGAGGTGGTGCTCACTCCTCACCCCTGCCACATATCTGCAATATCGCATGGACATCGGGGGCAGTCCCACTGGACTGGCAGACCGGGGTGGTGGTCCCCTTATTTAAAAAGGGGGACTGTAGGGTGTGTTCCAACTACAGGGGGATCACACTCCTGAGCCATTCTGGTAAGGGCTATTCAGGGGTTCTAGAGAGAAGGGTCCGTCGGATTGTTGAACCTCAGATTCAGGAGGAGTGGTTTTCGTCCTGGCCGTGGAGCACTGGACCAGCTCTATACCCTTAAGGGGATCCTGGAGGGTGCGTGGGAATTTGCCCAACCAATCTACATGTGTTTTGTGTATTTGGAGAAGCCGTTTGACCGCGTCCCTCGGGGGGCCCTGTGGGGGGTACTCCGGGAGTATGGGGTACCAGGCCCTCTGATACGGGCTGCTAGGTCCCTGTATGACCGGTGTCAGAGCTTGGTCCACATCAACAAGTCGGACTTGTTCCCTGTGAGAGTTGGACTCCGCCAAGGCTGCCCATTGTCACCGATGCTGTTCATATCCTTTATGGACAGGATTTCTAGGCACAACCAAGGTGCGGAGGGCATCCGTTTTGGTGGCCTGAGGATCAGGTCTCTGCTTTTTGCAGATGATGTGGTCCTGTTGGCGTCATCAGAACGTGATCTTCAGCTTTCGCTGGAGCGGTTCACAGCCGAGTGTGAAGCAGCTGGGATGAGAATCAGCTCCTCTAAATCTAAGACCATGGTCTCGATTCGGAAAAGGATAGAGTGCCTCCTCCGGGTCAGGGATGAGGTCCTGCCCCAAGTGGAGGAGTTTTAGTATCTCGGGGTCTTGCTCACAAGTGAGGGAAAACTGGAACATGAGATCAATAGGCGGATTGGTGCTGCATCTGCAGGCGTTGTACCGGTCTGTCGTGAAGAGAGAGCTGAGTCAGAAGGCAAATCTCTCAATTTATCGGTCAATCTATGTTCCTACGCTCACCTATGGTCATGAGCTTTGGGTAGTGACTGAAAGAACGAGATACAAGAGGCCGAAATTTGTTTTCTCTGAAGAGTGGCTGGGCTCTCCCTTAGAGATAGGGTGAGAAGCTCAGTCATTCGGGAGGGGCTCGGAGTAGACCTGCTGCTCCTCCACATCGAGAGGAGCCAGTTGAGGTGGCTCGGGCATCTGGTCAGGATGCCTCCTGGATGCCTCCCTGGTGAGGTTTTTCGGGCACGTCCAACCGGGACGAGACCTAAAGGTAGACCCAGGACACGGTGGAGGGACTACGTCTCTCACCTGGCCAGGGAACGTCTTGGGATTCCCCCGGAGGAGCTGGCCCAAGTGGCTGGGGAGAGGGAAGTCTGGGCCTCTCGACTTAGGGTACTGCCCCCACGACCCGACTCCAGATAAGCAGATGAAAATGGATGGATGGATGGATGATTTTATGAATTTGTTTTATTTTCTTTTGATCAATGTGAAGCACTTTGTGATTCTATGTCTGTGACAAGTGCTATATAAATAAAATTTACTTACTAAACTTCAAACATCTGTACTAAATATAACAAGTACTTTAAGTTAGGTCAGTTGAACCTAACAACATATCTTGTAAACTTTATCTCAGACCTGTCATTTCTTGATATTTAGAGGGAGAGGAGAAGGAGCTCAAGAGTTTGATGCACAAAAGGTGTGTAAACGTTGAGGAAGAACCAGGACTTGAGTGAGTCAACTCACAGCTTTAGGCCTTTCCTGATGAGTAAGGTAACTGGGAGAAGGACCTGGTCCCAGATAAATCCCAGAAATGGATAAGCAGACTCTCGTTTTGACTTTTGTCTATGTCAAACCTAATGGCTGGACATCTGCTTGGCGTTCATGTGAACAATCCTGTTCATCCAACATGGCAATAAATGGTTAAAATACCATGGGTGATACATTCAGTCCACTTTATTTATTACGTGTTTTGTACAGCCTGGCTCTGTAGTTCCCTCCCACTTCTCGCAGCAGCCAAACAGACCAGTTATTGACCAGTGACTCATAACAAAATGCTCCTGACATTAATGGTCTCTACATAACACCGACACCGGCAGTAAGGCGAGCTTCGGGCTGCTGAGGTACAGCTCGATCGGTTCTGAGATGGCACAAAATAACCGAAGTGGAGCGCTGATGAGGGAAATTAAACATGAAAAAAAAACAAAAAACATTCAGTTTAAATCAGCTTTTATCCCAAACAAGTACATCAAAGTGAAATTACATAAAGGATCCAACACCATCACGTCCCCCCATTTCTCCTTCTGAAAAATACCTCCAGCATCAGTCATCTGAATAACAGCAAAGCCAAGATGATTGGCACATTGTTAGAGGTGTTTGGTGTGTTTCAGTGTGTGTTCACACCGCCACTTCAAGAAACAACAGATGAAACCATGGCACAAGGTCCAGAGAGTTTGAGCAAAAACAAATTGAAAAAAAATTAATGTCTCTTTGGCAAAAAACGAGGAGAACACTTTGGGTTGTACATGAATAACACTGATAAATGTTGCATTAGGGGTGATTACCGCATTCAGGTGTCCACTGAGCTCATCTGAATGCATACAGTACCTAGGATTGTAGTACTGACCGCAAGATTTAAATCAGGCAATAAAAACTATCTCCCAGCTTCCTTGGTATGTCCCTTCACTTCAAGAAGGTACTAGTACACATCTAGACCGGCCAATCTGTCCTTCATCTTTCTCCAAATGATCTCTGGACCCTTTAGTTTTTATTTCTGCTTTAGATCCCTCACCCAGCTGTGGCACTCACATCTACATCTGCTCGGATTTATTAATTCGATAAATACATGCCACTCTTCCCTCTAATCATTAGCAAAACACATGGTGTTAAAATCAATAGGCAGGGTAAATAAAGCAACGAGGCACAAAGATAATTGAAGAAATAAAGTGCTAAAATGTCAGATCAGCACTTGAAAAATGCTTAGAATTCTGACTGATTCAAAAAGATGATCTTCACAATGTCACTTCCTAGCACACCGAGTCCTCATCGGTAGAGAAACAAAGGTTATTAATTATCAGGGTCATTATTTGAAAACTTTGTGCTCAAGTAAGGTTTTGTCTGCTAAAGGCAGACGCTTCCAGTCGCTTCGTCCTTCAAATCTCCGTCAGGTTAACGAATGACGTGTAGGTATCTGAGGTCTGAGTACAAGAGGTTGACAAGCAGCGCAAGCAGTCGGGGGCCATCTCTGAGACAATGTCCGGGATAACGGATGAACTGGACGACTTTATTCAAAGGCTCCTCTAATTCCGCGTACTGCTTATTGCTGGACATCGTCTCCAACATCCCCAGCATCTGCATCCACCGAGAAAAAACAGAAATACAAGTTAATTTTGGAAAATTTTTGTACAGCATGATAAGTTTTAGTGCATACTTGTTGTGCTTTTACGGACAGCCGTAGGTCAGTGGTGGGTTGGAGTCTAAGCTCTGTCTCTGATGACACTTGGATGGACAGGAAGACGGCCAGACTGCGTACCACCACCCTGAACCTAGATGCAAATGCAATAATTAGCTAATTATTTTACTGTTTCACTTGATCTGGGTTCCAGGTGTATTTATTTGCTTATAAAGCGGATTACCTATTAGAAACAGGGGACCTCTTCCCAAGTCCTATGGCTCCCAGGAGCCCAGAGTTCAGTCTTTCCTCTCCGAGCTGAAGCAGCCTGCTTTGCAGTCTCATTAGACCCATGACGACTCCCGACACCTCAGTGTGTCCCGCCTGCGGCTGCAGCTGCTCCACGTACAGATTCAGTGCTTTGTGCCACCAGAGGAACAGTTTAGCTTCATCATCTGGACCACTGGACACAAACAAGAACCTCCAGGTTAGAGTTTGGTTATATGCCAGCAGGTTTCAGACACTGAATGCTGATGAATGCTGAACAAACCTTGGGAAGACCTGGGTGGTCCATGTGGTAATGAGAGCCAGAATCCTCCTCTCATTGACTGCGGTGTATTCAGTGTTGAGACGCTGCAGGATGAAGGCGTAGAGTGTCAGGAAGCTGCCTCCTGATTGGCTCTCGGAGAGGAAGTCATCCATTGTGAGTTCAGGCACCTGCAGCGACGCCAACACAGGACCCCAACCCACAGACTCCTCCTCAGCTGGTGCGATTGCAGACAAGAAAAACGTGTTAATCCTCACCATCAAATCTACATGAGGGGTTTTGTTTCAATTACTAAATCATGCTTCCTCACCATGGCTGAAGTGTGCTCTGATGCAAGCCTCCACAATGCGCGTCATGTGTCGCACTGATGCGAGGCAGCGGGAGCAGGCCGTGAGAAGGGGCAGAATCGGAAAGCCCCTCCCCTTCCTATCCAGCCAGGTGATAACGTGAGCAGCTAACGCCTCGCCTGTCGAGACCCCGACTCCATTCAGCAAAGCCAAGGCATCACTGAAGAGACCACAGAACGCCATGTGTCTCTGCTCCAAACCCACCTCTGTAACAGAAAACGGAGGAAAAGGTGGAAAAATTATTTATTAATAGTGATTATTAGGGTTAAAGTTGTTGGATTGTTGAAGATAATTTACGTGGAGGGTTGAACGTCACAACACTTTCCAAAAGTGTCTCCAGCTGAGCCTCCAGGCTGCTGAGGTTGACGCCACCTGTTTGTTCCAGCGTCACCAGTGACTGAACACACCAGCAAACGTAACCTCCAGCTTTCATTGTCTCCTCCTGATTAAAAACCGTAAGTTTAGTCACATTTTCAAAGCTTTTTGTGCACATTTTAGCAGTTTGGAGTAAAAAAAAAAACATATTTTAGCTGCTATTTCAGCAGCGTTCTGAGAAAAAAAAAACCCTACATTTATAGTACTAATCAGCTTACACATTTAAATGATGCTACGCTACATTAAAAGCAGTATAGGAAGTGTTATATTGATATATTCTGGCTACATGATGCAGAGCTGGCAAAGAAAAATAAATGATTAAAGTCTAAATTTTGCGCCGATGGTCCAAACCTCCCACTTTCACACAAAACGTGTCAGCCGAGGGGCAGCAGAGACGCTGATATGAGAAACTCATGAATTATTATACACTTCAACGTGAAGTCTGTTCTCGATAAAACCGCTTTTGTGACATTCTTTCATTTTCAGCTACATTTTGAATAAAAAAAATCTATAAATAGCAAAAGAATTTCATTTGATTTAAGGGTTTATTCTTGTATAGCCCCAAATTCCCCTTCTTCCTTAATTTAACAAAGAAACGTACTCATTTTCTAAATTTACAGTTTCTTAAAATGAAAATTTTTAAATTGGAAAACAAAAAAGGCATTTACCTGGTGAGGAGCCTCGCTGGGGTGTGGGTGGAGACCTGCAGCACTACGAAGCAGCTTCAGCAGAAGCTGAGAAGCAGAGTCTGTGTTGAGTAGCAGAGAGGGAGGGTAGTGGGTGCTGACATATCCCAGAATGCCCTGGTATGAGGAGAGGTCAAGTTGGTGCCAGGGCAGGGAGGTGGACTGGACCAGCAGACTGAGCAAAGGGGAGTCCTGGAGGGAGAACATGAATGAGGAGATGAGACGTCTGACAGAGATCAGCTCCGAGAGCGGTGTGAACTCACCTGTTTGCTCAGGAGTTCGTCCTCCTTCGCCAGAAACACGAGCATGTATAACAGATAGACCAGCATGGTGTGGGACTCCTCCTGCATGCCCGCATCTGATGGAGCTGGGTACATCGTAGAGCTGGCAGGTGTCTGCAGGTGGTCACTGAGAACACTGACCCAATTCACTTCACACATCAGCTCTCCCACAAACAGGAAGCAGCTCTTGGGACTTCCTCTCTCCACCTGCAGGAGCAAGAAAAGGCAAAATCAAAACCTAGACGGTGAAATCAGAGGATGTTGAGATGAAAGACCTACGATAAAGAAAATCTCACATTGAAAAACTGCTCCATGAGCCGAGTGTCAGGATGCAGGTGTCTCCAGGGCAGGCTGCGGAGGTGTGTGTGGTACAGGTAGAGCAGGTACTCAGGTGTGCGTGGGGAGGTGCAGCTCTCACAGTACTGCATCAAACACAACCACAGAGCGCCTCTCTGACTGGGCCGCAGACGATCTGAAACATGCATGTGAACCCTCCGTGCACAAGATGTGGGAAGAAATCAAATACACACTGAGAGAGCCGGAATCTCACCTCTGAATTTGTGATGAAGCACGTCAACGAGCTGAACGTACAGACCGACCAGGTGACCTGCTGCATTCGCATCAGTCTCCAACCAGGGGTAGCACTTACTGTTACCGAGTCAAAAAGGAAGCGGATGCTGTCATTTACAGCTTTTATTAGCGTCATCGACAGCAGTGTGATAATCATGTGCATTTTAAGAATGTAGCATAATTTGCCTAAATGAACAGAAAGACAAACTAAAAGCAAATATAGAAGAATAATAAACACAAAATGTTGATCAAAAGACATTCTCGTGGTCTATTAGGATTAACATTTGTTCTGTTTAGAGTCTGTTCTGTCTGATCTCACGTCAATTGCTCTGAATAAAATTCACATTTTCTTAAGAGTTGTTATGAGGTACGTGAAACTCACCCGCCCTCACCAGTGTCCAGAGGAAAGATCCAGGGCTTAAATAACTTCACAACCTTACTGTGCAGGTCCTGCAGAGCTGTGAGAAGGAGCATTTCTCTTTCACAACAAAAAATAACAAAGATACATTCGAGGCTGCAAGAAATGTGGCAATCCACAACCACCTTTCATGATTTTGCTGCTTCCCATAATCTCTCTGGTGCAGCTGTTGACCTGAGCGCTGATGAGACAACCAATCAGATGCTCCCAGAAGGTAGCGACATCACTGATGTAAGGAACCCAAACAGAGAAGAGGCCGAAGCTGCGCAGGTCAGACTTACTGAGACGACTCCGTAGGAAGTAGTCACTTAGCCACTCGACTGTCTCCTCAACCTGGTGGCAAACAAACCCTTAACATAGAGAACACGCTTTAACATGAGAGAGAAATCTAAAACCAACGCTACCTGCCGAGGAGAGAGGCTGATGGGGGATCTGTAGGGAGAGGCAGTGGGTCCAGCAACAGCGGCGCCGATGGATGGTTCAGCTTTGCTATTCGTGCTGCGAGTTGGAGGCAAGCAGCCGAGCACTCGCAGTGTCACCTTCCAGCACTCTGGACTCAGCAACTGGTTTGATGAACCTGTGAAGATTAAAATATAATTTTATTATAAAATGTGCACATCAAACAACCAAAACAGAAAAGTAGTGACATTTATCTGGTTAGTTTCCATTTTTAACCACAAACGAACAAAATCAGCTTTGTTTCATTGGCAGAATTTGACTTTGGTACGAGAGGACAGATTTAAAAGATTTACTGACGTTCGATAAACATTTGCTGTTTTCACTGAGTGAACAAACGTACTGGTCATGAGCAGACGCAGGCAGTCGCTGTAATGGTCTGGGAAATGGTGGCGAATGAGTAAAGTCCAGTGTTTGGTGAAAAGGTGAAAAGGAATGAGAAGTTCAGGTTCGGGGTCCCGTCCGCAGACGCAGAGAGCACCGTGGACCAACTCCAGCAGACGAGTTCTCTCCGAAAACACAGGATGAGCCTCACTCAGCCACTGGGACAAGTCAAACTAAGAGAGAAGACACGTGAACCGAAGTGATGCAGCTGAACGGCAAGTTTCATCTTATTTCTTTACTCTAATTTGCCTTTGAACTAACCTTAGTGAGCAGCATGAAAATGACATCAGCAGTGTCAAGGTGAAGAGACGTCACCACGTCTTGATAGAGGAAGACAAACTGATCAGACGCTGCGTTAGGAGTGAAGAAGGGGGAGATGAGAGGACAAAGAAGCCTCTGCTCTAGGATGGTCTTTAGGACGTGACTGCACTCCCCTGCATTACCCTGCATGAAAACCTGCACACAAAAATTACAGCAACGCAATTAAAAATGGACACTGGTGGCGCAGCAAGAACTGAGAATCCTTCATGTCTTTTTTTTTTGGTTTTCTGGTTTTCACCCACAGACCAAAAACATACATGCTAGGTTGAACTGTTTCAGTTTCTATCCTGCAGGAAGAAGATTCTGCATGATGTCGTTCAAATGTCACAGAAAGACCTAAATGTAAAATAAAGACCTTTTTTCCCACATGCACAAATAAGATGCATAAACATACAACATCCCGGATGTAAACGCAAAACATTTTCACAATTGACAGAATTATTATTCATGTTTTCAATTATCATGTTTTATGCTTTTATTACAATTAAAGATTGTTTCATTTGTCATGTTTTAGGCTCAATGATTTCACCATTTGAATGCTTAAAACAGTTGCTGTATTGTAAAGTGTTATTGTAAGGGTGTTAAAATCTGACCTAATGTGACCCAAGGATGACCTGAGGAGATCTGCTGTTCTGTCAATTGCTGACTCGTGCAAACTGTTTGCTACTCATCGTGTGATTAGACACTGAAAGTTCTTTGTGTAATAATGAATGCTCTTTGTGTGAAACTTGTAACAATTAAAAACTGAGAGCTGTGTTTTCTCCCTCCCTTCAGAATCAGCTCTCAGGCATGTAACTAGGAAGCTCCCAAATTTGTAATAAATAGAGATGCTCGGATTTCAAAGGCCAGAATGGTTTGGAGGAACTGCCAACTCAGTGGAGGCTGGGTTGGTGTGGCCTTATTCCATTCTCCTCGAGCTTAAACAGAATTCTGACTTTTGTGTCTCTTTCCTTGTGTTGTGTTGTTATATGGTGTCTTAGGTGCTTAAACCTGACAACAATAAATTACTTTTCTTTAGAATTAAGCTGCGCAAAAGCAATTTGGTTCAGCTAAACCATCTTTAAATAAAATACTGATGATTTTAGGGTTGTGGCAGAGGGAGGAGTGGGTTTCGCATTAGTCTGTGTGTTATGTCTGTGTGGGGAGAGTGTGCACACCTGGCCCAGTATCTCCACACACGATGACAGATACTGCCGTGTTGGTGGGTGTCGCAGCGTGTCCTCACACACAAATGAAACCACCTGGTAGAAAGCAGACACTCCAACTTGCTGCACAGCTGGAGATTTCTGAGCTTTGTAAATGTTCACAAGAGCCCTGAGCACAAAAAAAGTGCACACACACACACACACACACACACACACACACACACACACACACACACACACACACACACACACACACACACGTCAGGAAACTGTTGATCTTTTAAATGCTCTACAACAGGTTATGTTGATTCTATGTACATTTATTCTGTATTTGAGATGAAGGGTGTGTTTGTACTGACGTTATAAAGTTCTCGGTGTGAACGGCAGCTTTGGCCAGGCTTTGAGGGGGAGGAGCCATAGAATCAGTCTGAAGCTTCTTGATGTCTCTACGCAGCGATGTGATCTGGTTATAAACTGCCTCTTGTCTCTGGACACGCTCACACTACATAGCAACACACAAAAACACCCCGGTTACCAAACTAAAGTAAAAAAAAAAAAAAAAACAATGACATAGTTTGGTGAATCTGAACGCACCGTGACGGTGATGCTGGCCGGTCCCTGACATGGCTGTCCTCCCTTCCCTTTACACTCCAGAGCCATGTTGACTTGCTCTGGTTGGTTCTTAAAAAGCAAAGGAAAGCTCTCCAGGAGCTCCTGTTCCATCGCCACCTGCTGGGCTTCGCGTGCAACTGCAACCCTAACACAAAGAATGGGTATTTTTTTTAGCATCATCTGCTTCTGAGAATGCGAGTAAAAAAAGTTTTAGATCTCCACACATACCTGGCCTGATCTTGTAAGATGCTGAGGTCCTGCTGTAAGAGTTTAGCAGCAGCTTTAAAGTCTGTGAGACAGGCAGCGGGAACGTCGGCCACTGGAGCCGTCTGTTCCTGGAGCTCAGGAGCAGGAAGGGGAGCCAGGTGCTTCTGCAGGTTGGACAGTATGCGCTCTTTGGCTGATTATAAAGACAAACAGAGATAAATTTGAGCTAATCTCTCCTAGGAATAATGCTTTGATATAGCCAAATAATAAATATTGAGCTAAGCATTGAATGTGTGTATAAATATATATAAATGAAATAATGAGGATGTGCAATCAGTAATCATTTAAAATGACAATTACCGGTAGACAACATGCAACTCTTATACTTAGCTTACCAGGAAACATCAATAAATGAAACTTCTCCATCTACAGCAAAGAGGTCAAAAGGCTCCCCCCCAACACACACACACGCACACTGTCACTACATTAACTTTGAATAAAAGTTAATCTTCTACACTCTGCACCATTATTGAGGCTGGTGTAGTCCGTAAACCCTGGACTCGGAGGCTGCAGGAACGTCGGCTCACTCTGCACCTTCTGCCACAGAGACAAAACCTCCTTCTCATCATACTGCAGACGCTCCTGGTCTATGTACTCCAACCAGAGTTCCTGCAACAAACAGCAATATTTTATCACTGATCACAGACTTTAAATACTGTTAAAACTCATATATTTATTTTTAATCCACACAGAACACAAATAATCTCTGACCTGCTGCCGCTGCATGACCTGAGCCAGTTTGTGAGCTTCGTACTCAGGTGGGAGGGAGGGAAGGTACACCTCCTGTTTCTGCAAACTCTCATCATCCATCCACAAAGCAAATACACCAAACAACCTTTGGACAAACACCAATAAACGAACACTGTCTTTGAAACGACAAGAGGAAATGTTCTTTTTGGACACGCTCAGCATCAGTGACCTACCGGACCATTTCTGAGTGGAGCTGAGGGGAGGTGAGGTAAGACGGCTGGGCGTTGCCGGAGGTGGGCTCACTCTGGATGTCTGATGATGGCGTGTTTAGTGGTGGCACCCTGAGGGCCTGGCTGGCAGCGTAGTGAAAGTCTGACACCGCTTGTATCCTCAGCCTCAGATTTTTAAGTAAAGCAGCCTGAGAAGAAACTTGGAAGAACCTTCGTCCGATGCACCCCCCTGCAGCCAGCCTGCGGGGGGGGCATAAACAGATAGGGGTTTATTCTCTCTCTAGTTTCTTTGACAAGAGGGATTGTGGACATGAGAGCCTGCTTCTTACCCATACTCAGGTCCAGGCTGTCTGAGGTAGAGCTGCAGGAACTTCTGCCAGATGAGAGGAAGGAGGGGGTGATCGGGTGGGGTGGCTAGAGCCTGACACGCCCAGCGATAAACCTGCAGCCGCTGTAGAGATGGAGCTACGGGCAGTTTCAGCCTTTGCTGTGCTCTCTGGATCACATTCAAACAAACTGTTAGTCACCAAAACACCAAACAATCTCTTTAAACGAGAACCAGAGCAGCTGGAGACATGTTTACCTTTAAGGCTTGATCTGGGGAGATATTGGATTCTGACAGCAGCTCATGTTCAACACATCGTCTCAGCTGAGACTCTTCCTCAAACATCCCCTCCATGTTCAGCACCAGCCAGGCAAACCAGACCTACAGTGGACAGGAAGGCTGTCAGGACTGGACATTCCTATTAATATGATCCACAGCATCTCTTCAGATGTCGTTACTTCAGGAGAACTTACTTCTCCACTCAGAGATTGGCCCTCGATGAAGGATGGTGTGGCATTTCCAGAGATCCAGCCAACCAGAGAGGATAGAAAACCCCGATCACCATGGTAACCCAGGGCACTCTGTATCAAGTAAGAACACAGAATCCATTCAAGGCTCACATTTATGCTAAAGGCTGTTTTTACAGATACAAATTCAAGATCCGAGTCTGTTAGACCCACAGGAGGATGTGAATTATGCAAATGAAACATTCTAAATACCTTATGCTGCTGGTAGAGGAGTTTGTGCACACATTCCTCCTGGCGGTGAGTGAAGGCAGCACGGCAAATCTGATCCAAGAGGAACAGGACGGTTTTGTCTCGATACCAAAGAGCCTGCTGAGTCAGGATTCCCACCCAGAACTCCAGCACCGCAGCAGCTCCGACACGACCGGGCCGAGAGCTTTCCACAACGTGACTCTGACAGATTAAATTACAACATTAGTGTCTCAATATATTACATTTATCTAAAAATATAACTTAATCTTGTTTTTTCCCAGAAAATTTAACAAATTTCCAAATTTTTATTTATAATTTAAATTATTTTCTGTAAGTTTAAGCAGTAAAGTGAGTCTGATTCGTGGCGATAAACCTGAATGACACTGTTCAGGAGGCGGACGTTGTCTCCGTAAGAGGTTCCGGTCAGAAGCGGCGCTACTCTGTGCGTGACGTGCTGCGTCACGCCTTGAGGACAAACGCTGTCGTACTGCAAAAACAGCTGGATACAAGTCACAAACCTGTATCAACAAAAGGCAGGAGGCGATACATGTAGTGAGTTAGTTAGGGAGGCACTGTGACCCTGGCTTCTGAATGCAGCTGCCATCTTACTGAGCGTTGTTGAGCAGGTAAAAGCTCAAAGGGTAGGTGGGCGGCAGGATGTTATCCAACAGATGCACAGCGGCTCTCAGGTAGCGAGACTGAATCAGACCTTTTAACAGCTCAACTCCATCAGCACAAAAGTTTTCCAGTCTGAAAAGAGCAATTTAATATGATTTAAATTCTAAATTTCACTCAGTGTTTTGCTTTATATGAGTGAAAACAAACCTATGTCCCACTGAAGTCATGGCAAGTGACAGGTAGAACCCAATAGGGAGGCCTGCTTTTACAGCCCTGAGAACAGAGTGCATGCTGGGAGCATGTGTACGCTCTGGAGGTGGGTTAGGCGCCAAAGCAGGAACCACCCAGGCTCCTTTAGGGCTCTGGGCGTTACCGTGGAGCTTCAGCCTCAGCAATAGCTGCCACGCCCACTGACTAAAAGATGCTTCAGGAGAAACACGGAGGACGCTGGCGAGGTAAGACACCTAAAAGGACAAGACGGGATGGATGAGAAACCAGAAACTGAATCAAGTATTGAAGAAGTCTGTGGGAAAGGTGAGAAAGAGTCACCTGTTTGATTCCCTCTGATATCAGGCCACTGTATGGTTTATCTGTGAGGTACGTCTGATAGGCTTCAGCCACCAGCAAAGCCACCTCATTGTGGAGGACAGAAGACAGGGCCAAAGAGCTGTCCTGCAAAACAATTAAGTTAAACATTCCCTGAAACATCTAAGTTCATAAAATGCTCTGAAACAGTCAGATATAAATACCTGGTTGTAACCCCAGTTGAGACCCTCCAGGATAACGCAAGCTAACTGGTTCTCCACCGCAGACAGCGGATTCTGGAGCAACCAGGCTCCGATCACGGATATTTCCTCTGGCCGCGGCTGCCACAGGCTCAGAGGCAGCTCCTTACACAAGTACAGAGCCATCTAAAGCCACACAACACAATAAATCATGAGTTTGACTTGGGCCATCATACAGTAGATGCAGATATGAAACAGTGGTACCAACCAATCCCACAGTCTGTATGGTTTCTCGTAATTTCTCTAGTAGCACAGAGATTATATAGGGATGGGCTGTTGCTATGGCAGCCAGCAACTCCCTCCCCACCTTGGAGTAAGTTTCTCTTGTTGCCAAACTGACATAAGACACCTGAGGAATCACAAGAAATGAGGAAATAAAGAATATTTGCAGGGAATAGATCATCTTTAAGTAAAAGACAATGAAACCATAATTTATTTTCAAAGTATTTTATTTCAATATTTTCTTTGTTCCTGAACTGAAATGGTAAAATAATCCAGAAAGAATCAACTTGTAAAGGTCACCGTACCTGATAAATCAGCTGAGTGATGGTTGTGATGAACGAGGGGTCAGAGCGCTGGGTTGGTGTTACCATGTGAGCTAGCGCGGTGAGGAGGGAGATGCCATCAGAGCTGTTCACCTCACACAGCCACTGCTCAAATCTCTGCTGGTGATTTGGATCTGTTCACAGGAAAAAATAAATAAATAAAAAAGCCATGATGATAACTTCAGACAAATGCCATCAGTCTTTTTTTAGAGATCCCAACGCAGCGGAGGGGATGAATAAGTTAGTAATAGAGTTTGACAAAAAAGAAAATAAACAGTGGCTGCATCTAAGAGGAAATACAAAGCATGTGCTTGTTAGAGACATCGGGCATTTGAAGGATATATTTAGCACTTGTTAAGTGTGTATAATGATACCTCTGAGAGCTTGAATGCAGGATTGTGTGTCAGCAGCAGCACTGAGTGGTTTTAGTCCTGCTGTTTCTGCACACTGCATCACATAAAGGACTTTCCACAGCATGGAGCTGGACAGAGTCCCATACGGCATCTCCGACATAAACAACCAGATGCCCAGCCTGTGAGGGCGGAACACAAAACATACATACGTAAAAGCCTGTAAATCAATGTCATTTCTGCAGAGATGATTGCACAGGTCCAATCTCTCTCACCTTTTGTTTCTGAGCACATGCAAAACAGCTCGGAGGAAGAGGTGATCATATTCCAGCTGCAGTTTTTCCAAAGACATAGAGTGCACATGAGATCCAGCAGCATCGGTCACACTCACATACTGAGCCCAGTGATCACTAACATAGCACACAGTCATTCTGAGGGACGAGGGGAAACATCAGCGTTTCAGTTGAGGTATTTTCTAACCATAATGGATTTCACACCAGCTCTGTACTGACCGTATGATGCGTCCTATTCGTTTGACTAGCTGCCTGTAACGTGCTCTGTTGTATGTTTGCAGGCCAAGAGCCAGAATTTCTATGAGCGAGGAAGCAAAAGCAAAGACCCGCATCATCTTCTGACTGGAGCAGGCTCGGGGCTCGTACACACCTGGAAACAGAGCGTCTTGTCACCTCAGTGAATTCACGGTCCAAACACGTGACAAAAACAAGAGGGATGAAATTTCTTACCCTGCTTGCTCATTCCTAGCATGTGCGAGTAGAGCTGCTGGAAGGGGAACTGGTTCAGCAGGGAGATCAGATCGTCTTCACAGAGCAGCAACCAGCTGGTCTCCGGGTCCTCATCCTGAAAGGAAAAAGACAAAGCAGGGAAAAGTTTAAAAAATAATTAATAAGCGTCTCTACTCAGAACATCAGCTCTTGGACACAAAATCTTTTATTTAACAAGACATATTTTGATTAAACCCATGTCCCCATTTACTCCCCCATTTAAAACAGTCAGAGCGTGCCCCCAGTACCTCCTCTCCACCTTCATCAACAAGGGTCCAGTTTCCAGACTCAGGTCCTGAAGATGCAGATGTCTGGCTCTCACATGGTTTCATATGACTGAGAAACTCTGCACGGTGCCTGAGTCAGACCAGAGCAACCACAGGCTAGATGAGAAAACCTTCACAGTCCGCAGATAAGAGCTGTAGGGACTCCTACCTGGCAGGTGACATTAAGATGGCTAGGGCTTGCATGAAATGCTGCACACCAGAGCTATTTGTCTGAACTTGAATCTGATAAAAAAAAATTTTTTTTGAATACACTGTTTATATAATACATAACAAAGCCCAAAATATAAACTGTGTCCTCGTTTTACCTGAAGAAATGGTGCAGCCCACTTTCCCACTCCAGCAGGGCAAATTAAAAGATGATTCAGCAGGTAAAGGTGCTCCTCTGATCCTCCAACACGCAACAGGATGACAACCTTGCAAAGAGAAGACCAGAAACTCATGAAGACTCTACTTCACAAATAAAGTCAACCAGAGGAAGGTTATAAGTTTGTAGGTTTACCAGTCTCTCCAGCCACTGATGGATGTCCGTCTGGAACTGGGTGTCATCGAGGACTCTACGGGTGAAACTAAACAGAACACTGATGGCTTCTTTTAGAGGTTGGAGAGAACAAGGCTGCGTCCGATTGCCAGAGAAATCTGTAAACAACAACAACAACAACGACAAACTAAGACAACAACTGCTGTGATTCCACTTTACAGTAGCAGAACGATCCACTCTGCTACTGCCCTCACCTTTAAGTAGGTGATACAAGTATGATTCCACCTGCAGGCGTGACAGCAGAGCAGTGTAGGCATGCAGCACCACTTTCTGATGGAGCAGCTCACTGCAAGTCTCAAACAGAACCCGCAGCTCAGCCAGAACAGTCTGACTGAACTCTGCCTGCTGGAAACGATGGTATCCACAAACCTTAGACTGGTCCGCACACACACCCTGTGGAAATATAATGAATAAAACTGTTACAACAGAGCCCCAATAAAACATTACGCCATTTATATCCTTGGTTATTGAGAAAACAAAGATCCAAACACACCTGAAGTGTGAGCTGTTCATCTCTAAAGCTCCACAGGCGATTCTGTGTACTTTTGCAGTCAGACAACTGTGTGTGCAGCTGTGTGTGTGACTGGTTCAGCTGTCTGCGGCAGCGCCAGTAGTTCTGCAGCAACTCTGTCAATTCGTGGTTCTCCTGATGGGCCAGAGCGCAGAACTGGGCCGCACAAAGTTCAACGCCTTCCAGCCAAGCTCGCAACCCTCCGCCTGGCTCCCAAACACTCAGCTGCTCCAATGAGAATGCCTGCGTGGTGAAAAAATTATAAATCATAAATCAGTAATAATAAATCATCAATTACAGGCGACTTTGTGGAAGGTCATGCAAAAGTCTCGTGTGCATTACCTGGATCTCTGGTGCTGTTTTGGGTAACTCTGGGTACAGTTTGCTGCCTGACAGTTCAGCTACGGATTTCAACGGCTGCAAACTCAGAGGAGAAGATTCCTGTTCAGGAAGCGCCAACACTGCAGGTTCCCTCCCACAATTTTTCTCAGCTTCCTCACAAAGCTGCATCACCGAAACCTCCTCCAGTGTAGGAAGAGATGGGTACAAAGCAGGGACACTTGGATTGTCAAACGGAGCTGTAGCAAAAGGCTGATTCCACAGCTGTAAGTCTTTTTCTAACTCAGTTGTTTGTTGAGCAACTTTAAGGTCAGTCCCTTGAAATTCTGCCCCTCCGTCCTTTTCTTCCACCTTGTCTGATGTTGACTGATGTACCGTAACTTGTGGTTCCAGTTTTGACAAAATCAAACATGACTGTAGAGATTGATTCAACTCTGTTGTGGATAAAGTCTGAGCCAAGGAGGTCTGCAGTGTCTCAGTGGGACGTTCTGATGGCTGCGCTGCTGTCTCTGAGCTTTGGACCGGATTCTCATGCTCCTCCTGGCTCTCCAGAGGAGGACATGGAGGCAAGCTGAGGGGGATCTCGGTGAATTCAGAGCTGGAGGCCTCTGTGTTTATATTATTTTCATCCGCCTGCTTCTGCTTCCTGGCCAGCTGAGAACACAAACAAAGAAATAAACTTTATTTTACTAACAACTCATGTAAATAATCACTTAATCTTCTGACACTGTAATTTAAATTATATACTGATGATAGTTTTCTTTGGAAATTAGTTGTCTTTAAATTAATGTTAGTTTATAAAAGCAAAGTCTTAATAACACATGTAAAATATTTAAAATGTTTGAATAACTATCAATAAGAACGGTTTTAAATGATTACTAGAGTTCATTATTTGAAAGCAAATTATAAAGAAACAATTTACACTCATTATAATAACTAGCCTTGTTGAAACTGGTCCCATATTGGTTTGTTTGCAGAAGAGAGGTGATAAATAAAAATATACAGAAAGACAGAGCAGTTATTGGTGCAATCACCTGAGGTTTTCCGCTGCTTTTTGTTTTGGTCTTCTTTGGTCTCACAGCCTCCATTTTAAGCGCACGCCAGCTCAGATCACAGTCACACACAGCCGACAGAAGAGTCTCTTGGTGGAAACGATCAACTGAAAACTACAGCTCGGCTGAAACCGACAAGTCATCTTATGTTTTCTTTATAAACAGCAAACCGCAGCTGGAACAGCTTTAGGTCCTTTCTGTGTTGTCTAAGTAAGGACAGTCCCTAAACGTAAACAGCACACTAAATGTTAGATTTTCGGTTAAAAGGGCTCGCATACCTAGGCCGTGAAGACCGCTATCTGCATTTCGCTTAAATTAGACAAATTATGTCGAGTTTGTTTTTTAGAAAACGAAACCTGCGGATGAAAATCATCTAAACTAAGCTAGGCTAGCTTTCTGTTCGCACATATAACGCTTGGTTTCAACTAACAAACGTTTTCCAAGCTGCTATTCACATGATTAAAATAAAATTTCAACGCGTCGAAGCTTATGTCATGTAGTAATAATCCACATCCTATGTGGGTTGTCATTTGTTTTGTTTTTGTTTATTCCAGGAACTGCGCGATCGCAATCTAATCACGTGATTGCTCCACCTCTCTACGGGATGTGGAAGAGGCTAAAAAGTACGGAACGCAAAGGCTTTTAATGGGACCATTTACTTCACGCTTTCTTAGAATAACCTGAAATTATGGAAGTTCAGAACAAACACTTTACCATAACACAGATACAAAGCGGTAGCCGATGTTTTCTTTTTACTTTTAAAAATGTAATTATAGTGAGAAATAAGCTAAACAACACCAAACACAATGCAATCTAATTTTATTTGCCTCGTTGATCTATTTATTACCAACGTGTTATACAAAACAAGCTAATACAAAAAAGTATATATTTTTCTCTATAAAATTGCTCTTTTGACATCAGATAAATGCAAACACTCATAAGTCTTTTTCACATCCAATAGAAAAATACACAAAACTTTCCATTAGTTCATCAAGTTCCTTGTAAAATAATTGATTTACTGTGCATTCAGAAACAATGTAAGTAACAGCATGTGCTGTTGGGTAGATTAGGAAATTTGTGAAAAGCAATGACATATTGAGCTTGACACACAGGCTATGTAAACATGATAATAAAACATAGCTTAAAAGAAAGTTTGCATTTTCTTAAACAAAATATTCAACTAGGGTTTCAACATAAACTAATCTTGTTGCAACATTACATGTGATAAAATTATAAAATTATTTTGATGTTTGTCTGTTCATACTTTAATTTTTTAATATCCAAAGAATCATGTTTGTTTCTATGCCACTGGCAAACTCAAAAATGAAAAAGAAAAGGGATCATAAATATGTTTGTATCATCTTACATTTAACCACTTATTAAACTGATTGTAATGCCTTTACCTTCTCATTCAGTTTATTCAGAATAATTTAAAGGAGCATAAATCTGCTGAGAACAAGCTGACTGGGTGTCACAGTGAAAGTCTGTACTAGAAATCTGCATTGTGCTGTTATGAGTAGGTAAAAGACCACAGGGTGGGGATATGTTTACGTTTGAATCCTGCTTGTATAAAATGTGCAAGGGAAGTTGCTCCTGGTGGGATGTGTCACTTGATGACCGGCCGAAGAGATCAGGTGTGTGGTGAACGCATGCTTGGCTCAGAGCTAAGCTAAGGATCTCTGTTTTTTCTTTATGGAAGCGTAGCTCTACGCCTCGCCGTCGGGCCAGCACCAACTCCCTCTGCGCCACTTTCAGCTCGGCTCCAAGAATCCCCGGTGACCTCTGCTCCTGTCCAAGCCAGTCGAGAGCCATGCTGCTACGCATGTACTCATCAAGTCCTCGCTGAGAGTAATAAGATATCACACTCTGAGACAGAAAATAGGCAGTAATTAATATTTTATTGTAACATTCTTTTAAAAGCTTTATTTATAGACTTTCCATTTTTAAATTCCCGTAAAAATTAAGTCTGATTGAAGATTTTTTTAATACAACTCCAAGTTTAGGTCAGTCTTGACCAGAGGCCACCTCTGAGCTCTGCTGTTAATCAATCTTCCTACCTGTCGAGAGCACTTTCTTTCCCTCAGAGCCTTCAGGGTCCCATTCCATTGCAACAGTTGGAAAACTGTCATCATCTCCTACGGAGAGAGGAAGGTGTGAAATCAGAACCTAAACATCTATATCAGTGTCTGTCAGTATGCCAGAGAACGTTTTAAAACTTAGGATTGAGTCATGTCTAAACTGTGTATACAGTGGTGTGAAAAAGTATTTTCGCCCTTCCTGATTTCTTATTCTTTTGCATGTTTGTCACACAAAATGTTTCTGAGCATCAAACACATTTAACCATTAGTCAAAGATGACATAAGTAAACACAAAATGCAGTTTTGAAATGATGGTTTTTTTTTATTTAGGGAGAGAACAACATCCAAACCTACATTGCCCTGTGTCCCTGAACCTAATAACTGGTTGGGCCTCCCTTAGCAGCAATAACTGCAATCAAGCGTTTGCGATAACTTGCTACGAGTCTTTTACAGCTCTCTGGAGGAATTTTGGTCCGCTCATCTTTGCAGAATTGTTGTAATTCATCTTTATTTGAGGGTTTCCTAGCATGAACCACCTTTTTAAGGTCATGCCATAGCATCTCAATAGGATTCAGGTCAGGACTTCGACCAGGCCACTTCAAAGTCTTCATTTTGTTGTTCTTCAGCCATTCAGAGGTGGATTTGCTGGTGTGTTTTGGGTCATTGTCCTGCTGCAGCACCCAAGATGGCTTTAGCTTTAGTTGACGAACAGATGGCCAGACATTCTCCTTCAGGATGTTTTGGTAGACAGTAGAATTCATGGTTCCATTTATCACAGCAAGCCTTCCAGTTCCTGAAGCAACAAAACAACCCCAGACCATCACACTACCACCACCATATTTTACTGTTGGTATGATGTTTTTTAAATGCTGTGTTACTTCTACGCCAGATGTAACGGGACATTTGCCTTCCAAAAATTTCAACTTTTGTCACATCAGTCCACAAGGTATGTTCCCAAAAGTCTCGGCAATCATTGAGATGTTTGAGACGAGCCCTAATGTTCTTTTTGCTTAACAGTGGTCTGCGTCTTGGAAATCTGCCATGCAGGCCATTTTTGCCCAGTCTCTTTCTCATGGTGGAGTCGTGAACACTGACCTTAATTGAGGCAAGTGAGGCCTGCAGTTCTTTAGAAGTTGTCCTGGGGTCTTCTGTGACCTCTCGGATGAGTTGTCTCTGCGCTCTTGGGGTAACTTTGGTCGGCCGCCCACTCCTGGGAAGGTTCACCACTGTTCCATGTTGTTGCCATTTGTGGATAATGGCTCTCACTGTGGTTCGCTGGAGTCCCAAAGCTTTAGAAATGGCTTTATAACCTTTACCAGACTGATAGATCTCAATTACTTTTGTTCTCATTTGTTCTTGAATTTCTTTGGATCTTGGCATGATGTCTAGCTTTTGAGGTGCGTTTGGTCTACTTCTCTGTGTCAGGCAGCTCACATTTAAGTGATTTCTTGATTGAAACAGGTGTGGCAGTAATCAGGCTTGGGGGTGGCTACGAAATTGAACTCAGGTGTGAAACACCACAGTTGGGTTATTTTTAAACGGGGGGTTACTTTTTCGCACAGGGCAATGTAGGTTTGGATTTTGTTCTCTCCCTAAATAATAAAAACCATCATTTCAAAACTACATTTTGTGTTTACTTGTGTTATCTTTGACTAATGGTTAAATGTGTTTGATGATCAGAAACATTTTGTGTGACAAACATGCAAAAGAATAAGAAATCAGGAAGGGGCAAAGAGTTTTTCACACCACTGTAGCTACTTTGACATGTATGAAACTTGGATCCAGACTTTAGTACTTGTGACTTGCTTCACATTTTATAACCTGTGTAACATGTTTTTGTAACATGTAACTTTGCTATGTAATGTGTCACTTTAGTTTTGTAACATTATGTAACTGTAACATTTTGTATTCTGGGATTTGTGCTTTGAAACATTGAAACTTTCTTTTTAACTTCAAGTCACAAAACAAAAGTTTGATGTTTCAAAATGAGTGATAAATGTTAAAAATACACAAATGTTAAATGTAAAAAAGTTAATCTTATGTGGTACAAAACTAAAGTTAAGTGTTACAAACGAAAGTTAGGTGTTTGGTATTTGTGCTTTGAGACTTGTCCTTTGCAACATTGAAACTTTTTTCAACTTCAAGTCACACAAAAAAGTTTAATGTCACAAAACAAAAGTTTGATGTTTCAAAATGAATGATAAATGTTAAAAATACACAAAGGTTAAATGTAAAAAATTACAAAACTAAAGTTAAGTGTTACAAATAAAAGTTTAGTGTTACAAACTAAAGTTACAAGTTACAAAACTAAAGTTAAGTGTTACAAATAAAAGTTTAGTGTTACAAACTAAAGTTACAAGTTACAAAACTAAAGTTCAGTGTTACAAACGAAAGTCAGATGTTACAAAATATTTTACAAGTTACAAAACATGATGCAAGTTACAAGTACGAAAGTGAGGATCCTATTCCATAGACATGATGTCACAAATCCTAAATTCTACACAAGTTTCAACTTGATATATAAATGTAGCTGGTGACATCTGTGTTAAGCAAGGATCTAAACCTTATTAAATGTGTTTATGCTACAACCTGTAATGACTCATCTTGTATTAACTGCATGTATAAAATATGAAGACGTATATCGAATTTCTAGATGCAGCGAGTATTTAAGAGTACTTGTAGTGTGCATTCCTTGGAAGTTCTTTTTAATGAGTTGTGGCTTAGAATGAACCTCCTACAGCTATTAACCACCTGCCTGTAGCCATGTTTATTTATTCAGATACAAATATTATTAGGTATTTCATGTTTTAGTTCCCTGTCCGGGCCAAAGAATCTGAATTGATTCTTTATAGAAAAGTAGACATTTGTTGGGTTAATGGTTTCTAATTTTGTAGAAAGAGTAACACTGAAGATCTTGGTTTGTTTCTAAAGAAATAAGATTGCTTCATGCAAAGTAGCACCAAGAAAAAAGAAAGCATGAACCTCTGAACTACTGTAATTAGATCATTATATTTCAAGCACATGACACCACGTGATTTGTGAGCACAGTTCAAAGAAACACAAATTAGAACAAAGACTTTCTGTTTACCTGGAACTCCAGCATGGTCCTCCCCATGTAGGAACGGAGCAGCAGACTGTAGGTCCCTATACTGGTGCTTGAATCACACGCATCATCCAAAGAGACCTTTACACAGACAACAGTGCAGATCAATACTCACTATGTGATTCTACCAAACAGCACTTAGTAGCAGCTCACACTCACAGCACTCTCTTCAGCTGCTTGAGTCAAACTCTGTGCAATAAACTCAGGACTGATTCGTCGACACGGCAGCTCATTCACAAGCGTGTTCATCAGAGCCACACGGGCCGCGTCCCTGCGAGCCTCCGCTTGAGAGTCACACACCTGAGGGGGATGGAAAAAGAGGAAAAACACATCATGTGAAAACAATTGGGAGGTTTCAGGCTAAGAGGAGGTGGGTGAAGATATGCTGCTACACTTTTAGTTGATGTTACACTTTATTACAGCTAATCATGGGTTCAGAGCTAAAACCAGTGTTAGAGGCTCCAAAGACAACATCACAAGGCTTTCTGAGCGGTTGGCTGCTGTTTGGATCACACGGAGCAGAGAGAAGCGTCGTAGGAGCGGAAATCAACACAAGTGCTGTCAAGCGGTAAAATTAATTTTAGCCACAAACCAAGTTTAACTTGGTTTCTAGTAGTATAAACCAAAAACAATCTATCACACTATCACACACTACTTTACTTTAAATCTATTAATTTTTGTTCTATATCCGTTGACATTTACAGATTTTTCTTTTTACTTCAGATGATTAAAAATCAGTTTTTAGTTTAGGCTATAAATGACGTTTGCATGGGTAGAGTTGCAAATAAGTAAAATTTTTAGAACATCCATCCATCCATCCATCCATCCATTTTCATCCGCTTATCCGGAGTCGGGTCGCGGGGGCAGTAGCCTAAGGCGAGAGGCCCAGACTTCCCTCTCCCCAGCCACTTGGGCCAGCTCCTCCGGGGGAATCCCAAGGCGTTCCCTGGCCAGGTGAGAGACATAGTCCCTCCACCGTGTCCTGGGTCTACCTTTAGGTCTCCTCCCGGTTGGACGTGCCCGGAAAACCTCACCAGGGAGGCGTCCAGGAGGCATCCTGAGAATCAATCAGATCAATCAATCAGATTTATTTATAAAGCGCTTTTCAAACAGAGTGCTACTCAAAGTGCTTTACAAAATGACCCCAGATTCCCACAACAGGTTAAAAACATTAACAGACATATGCAAGCACACGCACACGCACACGCGCGCACACACACACACACACACACATGCACGCACGCACGCACACACACACACGCACGCACGCACACACACACGCACGCACACACACACAAGTAAAAATTATATTTGGCTGAGTCCAGATGAGCCCAGTCAGGTAAGGCAAGGAAATGCCATCAGAGGAGCCGTCTGCCCCGGCAGCATCAGCTCTTCCACACTAAGTCAGGGCGCTCAGTGGAGGGGAGCATAGACCCCCACCTATAGAGCGCCCAGGAAGCTACAGTCGACCACCGCTCCCAGGGCAGAGGGCCCCTACAGAGGAAACACTGGATTAAAATGAGTAAAAATATAATAAAAGAGCTAATATAAATGACTTAAGTTAGAAAATAAGTAATAAATAAAATAATATAGACAGAAAAATAATAATATTAAATAATAAAACTGTGCTAAAATATAATCATATAAAACATGCAAAGCAAGTAATAAAATATAATCATGTAAAACGAGGAATAAAACTGTAGTAAACATTTAGATAAAAGCTAACCTAAAAAGGTGGGTCTTGAGCCTGGACTTAAAAACATGAACGTTCTCTGCGGCCCTGAGGTCCTCTGGCAGCTCGTTCCAGAGTCTAGGGCCGTCACACTGGAAGGACGCCTTGCCATGAGTGTGTGTCCTAACTTTAGGGATGACCAGGAGACGCCTGCCAGAGGAGCGCAGAGGCCGTGAGGGTTCATACGGTAAAAGCAGTTCTGAGAGATAAGAAGGCCCAAGACCGTTAAGACACTTAAAAACCATTAGAAGAACCTTAAAATGGATCCTGAAACATAAGGGGAGCCAATGCAATGATTCTAAAACTGGTGTCATGTGCTCCCGCCTCCTGGTTTTCATCAGGACACGTGCTGCCAAATTTTGTAGAAGTTGAAAGCCTGAGATGCTCTTTTTAGGAAGACCAGAAAGCAGGGCATTGCAGTAGTCTATCCTACTGGTGATAAAAGCATGCATCAGCATCTCCGTATTGGCCCGAGAGAGAATGGGGCGGACTCTGGCGATGTTCTTTAGATGATAAAAACCTATTTTTGTGATATTTTTAATGTGTGGGATAAAAGTCAGCTCAGAGTCAAAAATCACACCCAGGTTCTTCACTTGTTCTGATTGGATTAAAAGACAGAGATTGTAATTTCGGTAAAAGCGTCTCTCTCTGGACCTCAGGACCTGCAACGCACCAGGCTAAAGACCAAAGGTGACAGATCATTTGCTGCTGTGGCCCCCAGACTCTGGAACTCTCTCCCTCTGAGCCTGAGATCAGTGGACTTAGTGAACTCCTTTAAAAAACAGCTGAAGACTCACCTGTTCAAGCTGGCTTTTGTATGACCTTCTTCACCACTCTCTCTTTATTCTGCTCTCCCCACCTATTCCACCTTCCTCAGGATCCACTGATTTCCCTCTTTCCTGTTCACTCTCTCCCTTTCTTAACATTTTTAAATCACAATTGCCTATTTTTGGTCATTTTAATATATTTTTAAACATTTTCTAAATGCTTTTTTATATTTTTACATTTTTTGTTTTTGTGAAGCGCCTCGTGATTTTTATCTTGAGAGGCACTATAGAAATTATATCTTCTTCTTCTTCTTCTTCTTCTACTTCTACCCCCTTTTTAAATAAGGGGACCACCACCCTGGTCTGCCAGTCCAGTGGGACTGCCCCCGATGTCCACGCAATATTGCAGAGCCGCGTCAGCCAACACAGCCCCACAACATCCAGAGCCTTAAGGAACTCCGGGCGGATCTCATCCACCCCTGGAGCCTTGCCACAGAGGAGCTTTAAAACCACCTCAGTGACCTCAGCACAAGAGATTTGAGAGGCCACCCCAAAGTCCCCAGATTCTGCTTCCTCACTGGAAGACGTGTCGGTGGGATTGAGGAGGTCTTCGAAGTATTCTGCCCACCGATCCATAGCGTCCTGAGTAGAGGTCAGCAGCACACCGTCCCCACTATAGCTAGTGTTGGTAGCGCACTGCTTTCCCCCCCTGAGGTGCCGGATGGTGGACCAGAACCTCCTCGAAGCCGTACAGAAGTCTTGCTCCATGGTCTCACCGAACTCCTCCCATGCCCGGGTTTTTGCCTTGGCGACCACCCGAGTCACGTTCCGCTTGGACTGCCGGTACCCGTCAGCTGCCTCTGGAGTCCCACAGGCCAAAAACACCTGATAGGACTCTTTCTTCAGCTTGGCAGCATCCCTAACCGCCGGTGTCCACCAGCGGGTTCGGGGGTTGCCACCACGACAGGCACCGATGATCCTGCGACCATAGCTCCGGTTGGCCACTTCAACAATGGAGGCACGGAACAGGATCCATTCAGACTCAATGTCCCCGGTGGGAATTGAAGCTACTTCTGACAGGAGACTCTGCCAGACGTTCCCAGCAGACCCTCGCGATACGTTTGGGCCTGCCTAGTCTGACCGGCATCCTCCCCCACCATCTGAGCCAAATCACCACCAGGTAGTGGTCAGTTGACAGCTCCGCCCCTCTCTTCACCCGAGTGTCCAAGACATGCGGCCGCAGGTCAGATGAAACAACAACAAAGTCGATCATCGAGCTGCGGCCTGAGGTATCCTGGTGCCAAGAGCACATATGGACACCTTTATGTCTGAACATGGTGTTTATTATGGACAATCCATGGCTGGCACAGAAGTCCAATAACAAAACACCACTCGAATTCAGATCAGGGGGGCCGTGCCTCCCAACCACACCTCTCCAGGTCTCACTGTCATGGCCCATGTGAGCGTTAAAGTCCCCCAGCAGAACGAGGGAGTCACCGGAAGGAGCGCTTTCCAGCACCCCCTCCAAGGTCTCCAAAACATTTAGAACATTATGAGAAAAATAAAATTATTTTCACCAAACTACGGTATTACCAGCAGTCGTTAGCTATGATAAACAGAATAATTGCCAGAATTATTCAAATTTCAAATACTTTCAAAGTGAGTTTTCAAAAGGATTTAATCAACCTAAAGCTCAACATAGTTGTGTCATTATGGGCTCCTAAAATTAAATGTTGTTGTGTTTGAAGTAATTTCAGTGTTTCAAGCTCTTTACTAAAGCTTGAACATATCACAATAACATTTAAGCATTTTAAAGAGCAAGTCACCCCCTACCAGAATCTTACTCCACTCCCATTTCCTGTTTAAAAAATACAACAAATGCTGTTGCCTGGCAGACCAAGAGGGCAGAGCCACTAACAAATACACACACAGGCTCACAGCAACATTGTGACATCATAATGTACCTGCTAACATCATAGTGTATCTCTTAGCCAATGACAATGGCAGATGTGAATTCAAATGCAGTGCAGAGTTTTTACCTGAAGAAAGCACAACTCTGACAGATTTAGGCAGAATATTTAAATTTTAACTAAGATGCACTAAAGTGCCAAATTATTGAATACACATGTCTACAGCATGATTAGACACTCATTTATATAGTTTATCAGCAAATAAAGTTGATGTGGGGGTGACTTGCTCTTTAAGGATTTCAAGCAGCCATAAGAACTTAATATTAGTCAGATATTTACTTCACTTTAGAGGATTTATCAAATAAAGACAACATCTCCAGTAGCCTTTTAACTAACCAGGTGAAGGAAGATTATGATGAACATACACACCTTGTAGTTGCCAAAGCAACTTCCTCCAGGAAGTGTGACATAGCAGACGTACGCTGGACCAGGAGAGGGAGCAGACTCGTATGACAGCAGGCTTTCTGTCTGGCTCTTCCCACAAAAACTGTCTGATTCACTGGAAGAAGAATCGTTTAGCTGAGCCGCCTGCTTCTGCTCCCAGAAGTCATGGAGGATGGCCACCACATTCACTGCACACATGGGTGTCACAATGCTAAAAACATCAGCTAATAATAGTCTGTTGATATAAATATGTTTTCTTTTCATTTTTACATATATGGTTTATCAAAAAAAGTTATTTTTACTCCTGAAGGCTGTGCATACAAACAGTTTACGGAACACCAACATTCATTGGTCTGTTTATTTTAGAATTAGAGGCTGATGGAAACACCCATGAGTTTAATCAGATCAGCAGTTTTTAACACTTCATCTTTATCCTGCAAAATGATTTTAATATTTCCAGTTTTCCTTATTTTGTGCCAAACCATTCACAGCGGTCACATTTTAAACAGCAGGAGACACTTTCTTTTTTCTTTTTTACAATTTTTTAATTGATTTTCTTCATTTGGGTACCAACACTTATAATGAAAATATCTCCACTCAAAACATAAAATAAAAATAAAAAACATAAAAAATAAAAGGGCAAGAGACAATTATGTGGCATAAATATACAAATAAATACAAACATGAAAACATTGTGCCCAATACCAATTTTCATTTCCCTTCTGTTAGCAAACACGAATTCATGGTATGTTTGAAGTAGACCAAAAGTAGAGAAGGGAGTGAGATAAAGTGAAAAAAAAAAATAGAAAAAAGACATACACCCCCTGCATACATGAACAATATCAAATTACTTTGTTGTTTCACATTGTATTACCTGTTTCCAAAAAAAAAGCAAAAAAAGAAAAAATACTTCCAGATCTCATCAAATTGATCTAAATGATAAATGATAATGACCCGCACTTGTATAGCGCCTCTCAGAGTAAGGACTCCAAAGTGCTTTACACTACAGTGTATCATTCATCCCTTCACACACTGATGGTGATGAGCTTGGATTGAAAGACAGTCTTGCTCCATGGTCTCACCGAACTCCTCCCATGCCCGGGTTTTTGCCTTGGCGACCACCCGAGCCGCGTTCCGCTTGGACTGCTGGCACCCGTCAGCTGCCTCTGGAGTCCCACAGGCCAAAAAGACCTGATAGGACTCTTTCTTCAGCTTGGCAGCATCCCTAACCGCCGGTGTCCACCAGAGTTTGGGGGCAGCAGTAGCTCAACAGGTTGAACGGGTTGTTCAGTAATCGGAAGGTTGCAGGCTTGATCCCGGCTCCGGACAGAGAATGCTGCTGTTGTGTCTTTGGGCAAGACACTTAACCCACCTTGCCTGCTGGTGGTGGTCAGAGGGATCGGTGGCGCCTGTGCTCGGCAGTCTCGCCTCTGTCAGTGCGCCCCAGGGCAGCTGTGGCTACATCGTAGCTCATACCCACCAGTGTGTTATTGTGTGTGAATGGATGAATGATACACTGTTGTGTAAAGCGCTTTGGAGTCCTTACTCTGAGAGGCGCTATACAAGTAAGAATTTCTTCTTCTTCTTCTTCTTCTTCTTCTTCTTCTTCTTCTATGATGTAGCCACAGTTGCCCTGGGGCGCACTGTCAGAGGCGAGGCTGCAGAGGACAGGTGCCACCGGTTCCTGCGACCACCATCAGCAGGCAAGGTGGGTTAAGTGTCTTGGCCAAGAACACAACAGCAGAATTCTCTGTCCGGAGCCGGGATCGAACCTGCAACCTTCCGATTACTGGACAACCCGCTCAACCTGTTGAGCTACTAACATATTTTTTGTAAAATAGCTTATTCGTTCTAAAGCCACAAAGGATGTCTAGCTTCTAACCAGTCTGAGGTTACACAAATGTTAGGTTTTTTCCAGCAACGTGCAATACATCTTTTAACCTCCAATAGGCAAATATCCATTTTTTTAGAATTAGAAAGGATAAAGTTGTTAGGATATATGTTTAAAACACACAACTTAGGGTCTACAGGTATTACTTCATTAATTATTTTACCAATAATTATAAGAGTCTCCTTCCAAAAAAGTAATATTTATTTGACATTCCCACATACAATGAAATAAGGATCCCCTTTAAGATTTACATTTAATACATGTGTCAGGTACATCAGAGTTGAACTTATGTAACTTAGTTGGTGTGATATATTGTCTGGTCATCCATTTGTACTGAAGTAATTTGGAGTTTGTATTAACAGTCTGGGTCTTAATTAATGAACAAGTTTCTATCCACTCTTCCTCTGATATGGTTCCACCCATATCGGAGTTCCAGGCTCTGAAGATGTTCATTGATGAATCCTTAGAACTTTTAATTATCTCATTGTATATAATGGAAATCTGTCCCTTACCTGACTTATATTTAGCCACAATCTCATCTAAAGTTGATGGTGCAGGTGGGGCAAGGTTACCGTTTTGACTTAATTTAATGAAGTTTCTAACTTGAAGATATTTAAAAAAGTGTTTTTGGGGAATACTAAAGTTGGTCACCAGGCCTTGGAAAGTTCTCATATTCTTTCCTTTATACAAGTCAGAAATTGTTGCTAGTCTTTTTAGAGACCAAGTTTTAAATCCTGGGTCGATTCTCCCTGGAGGGATTTCTTCATTGCCAAAAACTGGCGTAAGAGGAAATAGCTGTCTAGTCCCATCAAGGCAGTTACCTACCTCATGCCATATTTTAATTGTATTTTTTAAAAATGGGTTTTTGGTTACTTTCAACAATTTCTTTATATTTGATGAATATATATATAGGTTTGGAGAAATTGCAATATTTTGAGCCTCAATATTGACCCAAGCTGGGAATTTATTTATTGGTTCAAAGTAAAACATACCCATCCTAATTTGAGCTGCCCAGAAGTACTATAATAAGTTTGGAACCTGCAATCCTCCTCTATCATATGGTAAATATAATAATGAGAGTCTAAGTCGTGGTCGTTTATTGTTCCAAATAAAATTGGTAAATGTTTTATTTAAAGATTTAAAATAACTAAGAGGTGGGGAGAGTGGAATAGACTGAAAAAGGTATAAAAACCTACTAAGAACTGACACCCTATCATAGAAATAGGCAATGTTGTCCATTTATTAATTTGTTTGGAAATTATATTTGCTAAAGGTGTATAATTGGCTGAGATTATTTCCCCTATTGTAGGGGTAATTTTAACTCCTAAATAAGAAAACCCATATTTTGAGGTGGAAAAAGAAGTTTTAATTGGGGGATTTAGTCTCTCTTTATCAGATAGGAACATTATTACTGATTTGTCATTATTTATTTTATAACCTGAAAAAATACCAAAAGTTGTTATCAAGGTAAGTAAGTTTGGGAGTGATCTTCCTAAATTAGTACAGAATAATATAATATCATCTGCATACAAGGAAATTTTGTGTTCCATATTATTAGTTTTTATTCCTGTTATATTCCCCCGTTTGCGAATGGCCATAGCGAGAGGCTCAATGGCCAAAACAAATAGCAATGGGGAAAGGGGACAGCCGTGTCTTGTTCCTCGTTTTAAATTAAAAGGTGCGGAAACAAGTCCATTAGTCATTATTTTGGCCTGTGGGTTGGAATATAAAAGTCTAATCCATTTAAGAAAGTTCTAACCTAAACCAAACCTCTGCAGAACTTCAAGTAAATATTCCCACTCTATCCTGTCAAACGCTTTCTCAGCATCTAAAGATAGGACTGAGTGGTCTAGAAAGCCTGCTTTCTCATATATAATATTGAGAAGTCTTCTTATATTATGGAGACCATAGCGGCCTCGTACAAATCCACATTGGTCTGGATGAACTATGCAGGGAATGACCTCCTCTAGTCTGCTTGCCAAAGCTTTCCACAAAATTTTTAAATCATTATTGAGTAGTGATATTGGTCTATAAGATCCACAATGAGTGGGTGCCTTTCCAGGTTTTAATATCAACGAAATCATTGCCGTGTTTAGTGACGTAGGGAATAAACCCCTGTCATAAGAATCTTAAAACACATCGACCAAAGGAGGAATTAACTTAGCTTTAAAAAGTTTATATATTTCAATTGGAATTGCATCAGGTCCAGGCGCTTTTCCACTAGGCGAATTTACTATGGCTTCTGATAGTTCTTGCAAACTTGGATCCTTTTCTAACGTTTCCAAGGCTTCATTCTCCACGGTAATAAAATCTAGTGAGTCTAGGAAATCTTTCTGTGAGGAAGATTCATATCTTATCATTCATTTCTATTGAATTAGTAGTCAACACCTCATCTTCCATCATGACCGAGTTTATTACCCTCTCACTCTGTACCTGTTTGATTCGCCAAGCTAATAATTTTCCAGCCCTTTCTCCCTGCTCGTAATAAGATTGTTTTAGTTTGAGAAGACTTGTTGTAGCTTTTCTAGTAGAAAGCAGGTTATATTCTGCTTTGTATTCATTAAGTTCAGCAGTCAATGTATCACTTGGGTTTTGAAAGAACTTTGTTTCTTTTTCTTTTATTAATTTTTCTAATTTAGCCATTTGCACTGTCTCCTTTTTATATCTAAAACTCGTATAGCTAATCATCTGACCTCTCAGGAACGCTTTAAAAGCTTCCCACCTTATTGAGGCAGATGTTTGAGCAGTATTTTTTATCAAAGTACAGATCTATTTGTTCTCCTATAAATTCAATAAAGCCTGGGTCCCTAAGCCATATAGGCTGTAAACGCCATTGGTTTGGACATATTATTGAGTTTGTAAATCTTAAAAGAAAAGAGTGTGGGGCATGATCAGAAATAAGGATGCTATCATACCAGCATTCTGTGGTAATAGAAATCAGGTCAGATGAAATCAAAAAGTAATCAATTCTAGAGAAGCTTCTAGAGGCACCAGAGTAGCAAGAATAAGATTGTTGGGTTAAATTTTTAGACCTCCAAATATCTACCAGATTAAAGTCCTTAATCAATTGTAGTATTTCTTTTCTGATATTAGAATGGGACATATCAATTCCAGTGGATCTATCCAAGTTCGGCTGCAATGTGCAATTAAAGTCTCCACCTATTATGAAATGACCCAATAAAGTAGCTAGTGTCATAAACAGCTGTCTAAAAAACTCTGGATTATCATTGTTAGGCCCATCGATATTCACCAAATTTATTTTGACAGACGAGATCTCACATTCGATAATAATAAATCTCCCGAATTTGTCTCCAATTTCATTTACAAGTTTGAAAGGAATGGACCTATGTATAAGTGTTACAACCCCTCTAGCATTAGAGCTGGCTGAAGCAGAAAACACCCAGCCTGGTCACCTTCTGCTAACTCTGATCACATGTTCCTTGATCAAGTGGGTTTCTTGAAAAAATATAATTTTCCCTTTCAGTTGTCGGAGTCGATTCATAACCTGTTTTAATTCAATAAATTTTTTGAGACCTCTGACAGGAGACACTTTCTGATTACTGCAACAACAAACTGGCGTTGAGAACTTTGTTTTTACGTTGAAACAGTTGTGGCATTTAAACAAAAAACTAACAGGCATACATTTTTCTTTTAAACTAAATAACTTACAGTCTGTGGGGCAGGTGTGCGTCTCACTCTGAGATAAATATGACATGATGCTCTCCTCCAGTTTCACATAACTCATCTTCCTCCCACGTTCAGTTTCCTCTGTGCCTCAAACTGATGTTTTCCAAAAAGCACCAGAAAACATGTTAGTAAAAATTAGCAGCTGCCATCAACTTCCCAGCTCCAGATAGAAAAAGAGTCCAAAAAAGAAGGCATCTCGTCCTCCTTCCTTCTTCTAATATAGTTTGTGAGCATCTCACCAGGGTTTCTCTTTTGAAGCCAGCCACCTTTGTGACTCTCTCTGCCAATTAGCTCAGAGGGCCCCTCACTCCCTCAGCACACAAACAGAGGTGCAGAGCAGGAATGCAGAGCCCCTCCCCACTGGCTGTGCAGCTGGCTAATCCCCAAACAGAGCCAGACAGTTAAATACCTGCTAAAAAATACCAAGTAAATCAGAAAACCAAAGCAAGGCTTTGGAGGAAACTATACATTCCAGCATATTTCTCTTTTATTTGACACCTCAGGGATGATTCCATGATCAAGTGGTAGCTAGGACATGGGAAGGGGGGGTGGGGGGGTATTATTGACTTTGCCCTCAGATTTAGACCCAAGTCTGAGCTCCATTCATTTTTGATATGAATGGCCTTTGTTCAAGTGTGAATTCAACCCTTTTCTCAAAGCTTCTTACACATAAATTAGCCGAATTCTGAGAAAAAAGTGGTTTCTCAGCCACCAAGTCCCTTCACTTTAATTTATGCAGCAGGTGGTTTTACTCAAACTCTGAAGAATTCATGACATTATTTTAAAATTAGCATTAACAAAAGCGCTTTCTGAACACGATTCACTACAAAACTGAGAAGTGACTTTGATTATAGAAAGTTTATTTACAACTTTTGCATTGATTACATCGTGTTTGTTTAGTGAAGAAATGAGCAACTTTCACTTGATTCATAAGGATTTATTTTATACAAATAACAAAATAGTTTCAGGGTGTTTTTTTCTGTTCTGATAAGAGAAAAACAAACCATACCATTGATGATTTATAATACCTGGTAATATTTAATTAGACCTTGTGTAAAGATGACCAGAGGCTGAATTAGAAAATGTTCAGTCTGTGAACGCTGATCTGTTGGTGTCTTTGTTCTGTCCGCTGTAGAATGTTCGGCCTGAATCAGGTCTGTCCATTAATGCAGTCCTGCTGAATTCATCGCTTATCCCCAGAAGGAGGCGCTCTCCACGCTGGACTTGATTGCATTTTGGTTTTCCCTTCTGGATTTGGTCACCAGGTTGGCCTCTCCCTTCTGCAGACGCCTCCTCTGTGCTGCCTTCTGCTGTTTGGTGAGCTGTCGTCTCACTTTCTGACGGACGACCTCCTGCAGCGCAACAATAGCAGATCAAATGAACAAGCTGCCAGCGTAGTACAACATAAAATATCAGATTCATTGTACAACTGTACACATTTATACTTTGTTATGAACATGTGACAGTGTGTTGCTCCATCACACCTTTGGACAGACACTTACTGGTGGGATGGTGGAGCAGCTCCCGGTGCTTCCCACTGTGTTTTCACTGTCTGTTCTTTTTCTTCGGTGCTCTGCGATGTGTTGAAGACCATCTGAGTCCCTGCAGAAAAAATACATCAGCTGCTAAAATGTCTGAGATATATATGTGTATACTTTTTAAATTTGTAGATCTTAAACTGTTAAATCCAAATGTGTGGAACTTTTAATGATGACAGTCAGCTGTGTTTACCAAAAAGGTTTGAATTCTTTGTTGGAAGCAGAAAGGCACATCAGCTCCGGGCACTCATCCTCTACTTCCTGTAACTCTTCCTCAAACTCTTTCTCCATTTCACCAACGCCTCCAGCTGTGGACACCACCTCATTTATGACTTCTTTTGTTTTATTACTCTTTTGCTCCTCCTGATCTTCAGTATTTACATGTGATTCACAGACTTTCAGCCCCTCCAGTTCGAGAATTGCATGTTTATATTCCTCCATGTCCAGACTCTCCTCCTCTTGTTCTGCCTCATCATCTGTTGACTCATTGTCACCTTCCTCTTCATCTTCTTCCTCCTCTTCAGGCCCAGCTGGGTGTAGTAAATCACCATTCTTCTCCAGATCTTTTGAGAAACCACTGGCGGAGACTTCAACATCTAGAGAAAAAGATCGTCTGTAAAAATGTAAAAAAAATTAAAAAATAGAAACTTTTTGAGAACTACATTAATAAAGATATTTCAGGATCTCTTTTAACAAATATATAAACGGTCACCTGATGTCTTTGAAAGTTGGAAAGAGCTCACTTTCATAATTAAACCTCTTGGCAAAAAAATCTTTAATGCACTTCACGTCACGGTCAAAGTACCTGCAAATAAAAATGGTCGTAGGTAAAGAAATCATTAATCTTTTAAATTAAACCTAAAATTTTATCTTTTCATGGAACCGACCAACCATTCAGCATTGGGGTGTGACGTTGAGACCATCTGAGGGAAGTCGATCATAGTTATGTGGTCCTGGTCATCCAGCATAAGGTTGAACTCATTAAAGTCTCCATGAATCAAGCCATGATTGGCCAGTTTGACTATGAGGTCCATAAACTCACTGTAGAGAGCTGAAGGGTCCTGCAACTCATGCACCTGACACCTGAAAGAGTGGGACAATACAGATAAATTGTGGGTTGTGAGTGAGGAAAACACAGCAAACTGTAGAATTACTACCACCAAAGCAATAAACTGGACTGGCTTGTTAACATACAGAGGGTACCCATTGATGAGCTCCATTACTACAGCGTGTCTATTATAGTCCACAGGTTTGGGAACAGGGAAGCCTCGGTCATACAGAGCCTGAGAGGAGAGAGATAATTTAAAATAACAAAATATTGTTACTAGGGATGCTTCTTCTATTTCCATCAAATCTTGTGATTTGGCACTTTACCTTCATGTAGGCAAACTCCTTCATGGCAGAGAGGCGTGAGAGGTAGAGCCAGGACATGTTCCTCCTGTGTTGGTGGTAATCCCTCTTGTTCTTAAGATTCCTGAAGGAGGTACGACCCAGCCGGTGCAGCTTCAGAGCGTATTGCTCCTCATTTGGACTTGCTACAATATATATGTCTGAAAAAACGAGAGAACAGAAACATTTTTAATAAGAAAATCCTTTAACTGAAAGCTTTGGGAATAAAATGAAGGATATTTTGTATCTTCTTTAAGTATTTTTAACATTAAAAGTTGAAATTTGTTACCTTACCTGACTCTTTGCCCACACCCATCTGGTTGCCAACTGAAAGTATCACTTCTCTGGAGCACAAAGTCTTCAGAGCCAGATAGTCATATCCTCCATAGTTTAACCTGTAGCCCTGCACAGCTAAAATAAACACACAGGACAAATAACTAATTGTTGACATCTCAATGTGTCAGACAAATCCAGATCTTACCCTTTGTTCGTTCATAGACTACAAGTTTGTGCTTCACGAGTTCTCTGAGGATTTTGTTGCAGCCACCATGTTTGAGGCTCGCGATGGAGGAAAGAAGACTGACAGGAACGATCTCATGGTTCTTCATCCCCATCTCAACCTGTGAGGGAGGGAATTTTAAACATTAGGCTGAAAAAGGTTAAAAAAATACAACAACTGAAAAAAGATTGTGAGTAGATTAATAACTTTAGGCACATTCTACTCATTATCTAAAACCATTTAACTCATTTATAAACTAAATTTAAGGATTTTTTTGAAACAGCAATCCGCTCGCTGTGTGTTTCAATATACATAACTGGCCTTAACAATCTTCGGAAGTGATCCCGAGATAAATATCCCAACATTACCACAGCTCTGACTGCTTTTTACTGTTAATAAGCTGTAGAAATACAAAGTGACATCATGAGCTTAGGCTGGGTTAAAAGGACCACAGCTAGCTCGCTAACTAGCTAGCCAGATAGGTTTTCAGGTTAGCACGGTACTTACTGCTGTCAGGACCCGGAAGTCATCGCGAGATAAATATCTCAATATCACCACATTCAGCTTCCCCATGATTTAAAAGCCACAGAAACAGTTCACGTAAAACAAAACGGCTATATTTTAGCTACCAGTGGGATGCCCACATTTACCAAGTAAACACATGTGCAAGCGGAAATAAGGAGAGCATAAATGACGTCACGTCCGCTACATTCTCATTTATTTATCAAACAAAATCGTTCATAATATATTAACTGTACAGACATTTTATTGTCCAGTTATGCATACAGTTTTATAAATTATTACTTAACAACTTAAATCTGGTACAGAGTCACAAGAAGAAGAAGAAGAAGAAGAAGAAGAAGAAGAAGAAGAAGAAGAAGAAGAAGAAGAAGAAGGAAGAAGAAGAAGAAGAAGAAGAAGAAGAAGAAGAAGAAGGAGTTAGCCTATTTGCTGTAGTAATCGGTCACCAGAATTAGTTGTCTCCTCCTGAGCCCGTAACATTTTCATTGAAGCATTCTTAGCCTATTTATCTTCTCCATGAAGCCTACATTTCAAAATCAAATGAAAATCTTTCCAAGACTGTGTGGGATCAGTTCTTCCATAATTTGGGTGGGGGGTTGAATTTCCACATTACCTGTACATTACTCTTATTTTCTTTTATAATTAGACTGTTTGCCTGTACTTGTTAGATTACAAGGTCAGGACATTCCACCCAATGGCTTCACACCGTCGTCGTCTTCGTCTTCCTCCACTTATCCGGGTCACAGGGGCAGCATCCCAGCTAGGGAGCTCCAGACCGTCCTCTCCCCGGCCACCTCCACCAGCTCCTCCAGCAGGACCCCAAGGCGTTCCCGGACCAGGTTGGAGATGTAAACTCTCCAACGTGTCCTGGGTCGACCTGGGGGCCTCCTGCCGGCAGGACATGCCCGAAACACCTCCCCAGGGAGGCGTCCAGGAGGCATCCTGACCAGATGCCCAAACCACCTCAACTGACTCCTTTCGATCCGAAGGAGCAGCGGTTCTACTCCGAGTCCCTCCCGAATGTCCGAGCTCCTCACCCTATCTCTATGGCTGAGCCCCTACGGAGGAAACTCATTCAGCCGCTTGTATCTGCGATCTCGTTCTTTCGGTCATTACCCAAAGCTCATGACCATAGGTGAGGATTGGTGGTGAGTTGGATCAGATGACAGGGGAAGATGCCACATAGACGTAGCAGACCCAAACGCATAGTGAGGGTCTGCTGGGAACGCCTGGCAGAAGAACCTGTCAAGACGGTCTTCAACTCCCACCTCCGGTAGAGCTTTGACCGCGTCCCGAGAGCAGTGGGGGACATTGACTCCGAGTGGGCCTTGTTCCACTTTGCGATTGTCGAGGCGGCTGTTGCTAGCTGTGGTCGCAAGGTGGCCAGTGCCAGTCGTGGTGGCAACCCCCGTACCCGCTGTTGGACACCAGAGGTTCGGGGAGCCGTCAGGCTGAAGAAGGAGGCCTACAGGGCGTGGCTGGTCTGTGGGTCTCCGGAGGCAGCAGACAGATACCGGATAGCCAAGCGGGGTGCAGCAGTGGCAGTTGCCGAGGCAAAATCTCGGGCGTGGGAGGAGTTTGGTGAGGCCATGGAGAAAGACTATCGATCGGCTCCAAAGAGGTTCTGGCAAACTGTCCGGCGCCTCAGGAGAGGAAGGCAGCAACTCGCTCACACTGTTTACAGTGGGGATGGGGAGCTGCTGACGTCAACTGGGGCTATAGTCGGATTGTGGAAGGAATACTTTGAGGAGCTCCTCAATCCCACAGAGCCGGGAGACCTGGGGATGGACTGTCCAATCTCGGGGGCAGAAGTTGCTGAGGTAGTCAAACAACTACACAGTGGCGGAGCCCCGGGGACGGATGAGATTCGTCCTGGGTATCTCAAGGCTATGGATGTTGTAGGGCTGTCATGGTTGACACGTCTCTGCAACATTGTGTGGTCATCGGGGGCAGTTCCTGTGGAGTGGCAGACCGGGGTGGTGGTCCCCATCTTTAAGAAGGGTGACCTGAGGGTGTGTTCCAACTATAGGGGGATCACACTCCTCAGCCTCCCTGGAAAGGTCTACTCCAAGGTACTGGAGTGGAGGGTCCGATCGATAGTTGAATCTCAGATTGAGGAGGAGCAATGTGGTTTTCGTCCTGGCCGTGGAACTGTGGACCAGCTCTATACCCTTGCAAGGGTGATGGAGGGGGCATGGGAGTTTGCCCAACCAATCCACATGTGTTTTGTGGGTTTGGAGAAGGCTTATGACCGTGTCCCCAGGGGCACCCTGTGGGGGACGCTCCAGGAGTGTGGGGCGGGTGGCTTTCTGTTAAGAGCCATTCAGTCCCTTTACCAGAGGAGCGTGAGTTTGGACTGCATAGCCGGTAGTAAGTTGGACCTGTTCCCGGTGAGGGTTGGACTCTGCCAGGGCTGCCCTTTGTCACCAGTTCTGTTCATTACCTTTATGGACAGAATTTCTAGGCGCAGCTGTGGTGTGGAGTGTGTCGAGTTTGGTGGTAGGAGAATCTCGTCTCTGCTTTTTGCGGATGATGTGGTCCTCCTAGCTTCATCCAGCTCTGACATTCAGCTCTTGCTGGGTAGGTTCACGGCCGAGTGTGAAGCGGCAGGGATGAGAATCAGCACCTCCAAATCTGAGACCATAGTTCTTGACCGGAAAAGGGTGGCTTGCCAACTCCGGGTCGGGAGAGAGGTCCTACCTCAAGTGGAAGAGTTTAAGTATCTCGGGGTCTTGTTCATGAGTGAGGGTAGGAGGGATCGGGAGATTGACAGGCGGATTGGTTCAGCATCTGCAGTGATGCAGACGCTGAGCCGATCTGTCACGGAGAAAAGAGGGAGCTGAGCCAGAAAGCCACGCTCTTGATTTTCCGGTCGATCTATATCCCAATCCTCACTTAAGGTCATGGGCTTCACACCGTGTGAAATAAAACCCAAGAATTCTCAAACACTAGACCTTTTACTTCACATCAGACCTATTCAGTGCATCAAGCTGTGTGGATGTGTTCTGCTGACACTTGTGGGAACTTTTGAGTTTTTTTTAAATTTTCATTAATGGAGACTTTTTCACAACAGATGAAATCCAAACTTGGTGGTTTAAAAAATGATTAGCCTGCTATCAAAAAGAACAAACTTCCAGGTAAAGCTTTTTGGAAAGGTCTTTGGCGGGAGACAAGAAGAGCTGTAGGTTGTAAAGCAGTTCTATCGAAACTGGACAGGGTTGAAACCAAAGCTTATTCTGTCCATCCCATCTTAAGTATCTTCATGACGGTGGGTGACGGTGGCTTAGAGATTAGGATATCACTCTATAATCAGTAGGTTGCAGTTTCAAACCCAGGCTCCTCATGTAAGTCATTATGTCATTGGGCGAGACAATTCACCCTCCTTGACTGATGATGGTGGCCAGAGGGACCGGCTGCGTCAGTGCTCGGCAGCCTCGTCTCCTTCAGTGTGGTCCAGAGGTAGCTGGGGCTACAATGTAGCACATCATTATCAGGGTGTGAATTTGTGTTTGTGTGTGTGTGTGTGTGTGTGTGTGTGTGTGTGTGTGTGTGTGTGTGTGTGTGTGTGTGTGTGTGTGTGAATGGATGAATGATTCGCTGTGGTGCGAAGCACTTTAGAGTCCTCTGACCCAGAAAGGCGCAGGTCATTTATCATTTAAATATATGAACAAGCAAGATTAAAGATAAAAAATAAAACTCAAACAAATACAAATGAAACAATAAAATACTAATAGAATTTCAACAAAGTGGTAAAATATGTGAGCAGATGAAAGTTTTTAGTTCACAACTAAAGTGAAAACATATAAATCCTGAGGTGTAGCTTTAACTCCTCATGTCATACCAATAGGCACTGATGGCGGTACTCAGTACTGAGGTGGGGCTCGATTCCCTGCAGGGCCTTGCTGATTGTGTTGAAGTTAGAAGATTTACTACCTAAAATTAAATAACATTATACATCATAACAGTTTGACACAATTATAAATCAGTATATATTCAATTCAGCATTAACCCTCTGGAGGCAGGCGTTGCAGATTTGTAACATTAAAACCTGCCTACCTGGTTACTCCACATACGTATTTCATAAGCATTTTTTAACTCAGAAGTACCCCTGAAGGACTTAGTTGTTCGTCCTTTTATCAAAACTTATTTTGAGCCTGAGAGGGTTAAAACAGTAGGACTGCAAAATTCTTGATAAAAAGTAATTCAAAGATTAGAACAGAACGTATTTGATCTGTGGGATTTAGTCATGACCCTCACTGACCTTTAAGCTACACACCATGAATCTGGCTATAAGCATTTACAGTCTGCAGGCGTGACTATCTTCAGTGTATTCTGATTTCAATTAGGTAACTGTATAAAACCTTTACTGCTGTAGTGTTTAAAATGTGTAAAAATGTATAAGAATTATAAACTTCATTGCTTCACTTTAAGGTCACACATTTTTATATAATGTTGAAACCCTTTTTTTTTGTTGGTTTTGTTTTTGTGAAGCGCCTCGTGCTTTTTATCTTGAGAACCGCTATATAAAATATTGTTTTCTTTCTTTATAATGAAATAAATCAAGTCTTTATTCAGGTTCAATCAAAAAAAAGTTTTGTGTTGATATTGAAAGACGCATCTTAAGAAGTGCTACAGGGAACATTGCAAGATTAATGTAAATTTGAAGGTCAAATGTGGTCGTGCATGTGAGAGCAAGACACGCTGAGGGTATTAAACAGGTTGACTGGCAAGTTTTTGTTGCCATAGCAGCAGAACCCTGTGCATTTCTGATACAGGTGGTCCAAGCTGTGTGTGTGTGTGTGTGTGTGTGTGTGTGTGTGTGTGTGTGTGTGTGTGTTTGATTGACAACATGAGCTGTATAATATGGCACTTTTATGATCTAAGCACTGGTCAGTGTTTCTGTATAAACTGCTTTAGAATACTGTATCTGATTCATAACAAAATACAAATAATAAAATACAGAACAACACAATAACTGTGAATAAGGGTTTGAATCCGACGATCCTGGGACATCATTTGAACATTTTCAGCTTTGTTTGGTTGGTAAACACTGCATGATAGCAGGGGGTTTTAGTTTCTTTTTGCTATTACTCTTCTACAGGAAAAGATTGACGTGAATGTAGACAGCAACCATCAGCAGTACAACATTAAATAAAATTATTATTTAACA